AGTTGTAATCTGTCTGTTTAGATTCTCTGATCCTTCTTGATTCAGTTTTGGGATATTGTATGTTCCCATGAATTTATCCATTTCATCCACATTTTCCAATTTGTTGGTATATAGTTATTCATAATGTTTTCTACAATCCTTCATATTTCTGTAGAGTAATTTGTTACTTCTCCTCTTTCATTTATTATTTTATTTATTTGGGTTCTTTTTTTCTTGATGAGAGTGGATAACTGTCTGTCAATCTTGTTTACCTTTTTTATCATTTTTAAATTAATGTTCGAATACAGGTGTCTTTACTCTGCCCCACCCATGCCCATCTCCTATCCTCAATCCTATCCCCCTTTAGCTTTGTCCCTGGGTCCTTTATACATGTTCTTTGATGACCCTTTACCTTTTCAAAGAACCAGTTCTTGGTTTCATTGATCTTTAACATTGTTTTTCTAATTATATTTTATTATTTATACTATTTCAGGTGGCTCAATATTTCCCCTTAGCCCCCTCCACCCAGACCCCCACTCCCTTAGACAATCTTAAACTCTATTTTATTTATTTCTGTTTCAGTCTTCATTATTTCTTCTACTCATTTTTGGCTGGGTTGTTCTTTTTCTAGTTACTTTATTTTTTTAAAGATTTTATTCATTTATTTTTAGAGAGGGAAGGGAGGGAGACAGAGAGAGAGAAAAAAAAAACATCAATGTGCGGTTGCTGGGGATCATGGCCTGCAACCCAGACATATACCCTGACTGGGAATCGAACCTGCGACACTTTGGTTCCCAGCCCGCGCTCAATCCACTGAGCTACGCCAGCCAGGGCTGTAGTTACTTTAAAGTTAGATTGTTTATTTAAGATTTTTCTTTTTCCTTGAGTTAGGCCTGTAATACTATGAATATCCCTCTTAGGACTGGTTACACTGTGTCCAAAAAATGTTGGTTCTTGTGTTCATTTTCATATATTTCAAGGTATGTTTTTTTATTTCTTGATCTCATTATTAGCCCATTCATTATTTAGTGATGAACAGATTATCCTCCATATCTTTGTGTGTTTTTCAGTGTTTTTTTCTTGTCACTGATTTCTAGTTTCATACCATTATCATCAGAGAAGATGCTTGATATGATTTTAATCTTCTTAAATTCACTGAGACTTGTTTTGTGTCCTAACATGTGGTCTATACTATAAAATGTTCCATGTGCACTTAAAAAATGCATATTCTGCTGCTTTGGGATGAAATGATCTGAAGATATTAATTAAATCCATCTGATCTAGAGATTGTGTGATGGCTTCAGAATAGGAGAATATACATCTCACACCTTCTCCAAGAACTATCATGTAAATAAAACTAAAGAAGGGAACAGTCACCTGAAATAATCTGAAGCCTACCTGGAAAAGAGACTTTTGACCAGGAGGGGCAAAAACCACCTTGAAACTGGTAGGAAGGGCTGGGATGTGAAAGAAGTTAGCCCTGTTCACACAGGCTGCAGGCTGAGGATGCAGCATGGGTGTGACAGCTTTCCCCTTGAGAGGAAAGGAGCTGGGACCACAGGCTGGGCTCCCAAGCACCAGAGCACCAATGACAGGAGCAGCCAACCATATAGCACCCGGCAGTGAAAGACTGTGGGGTTTTGTCTGGTGGGGAGAGGTGGAACCATGCTGCAAACAAAGCCACTATTTTTTTTTTCTTAAAGGGACCAAAGCACAGGTTTGTGTTTCCAGCCACTAACCTTGGGCTCCAGCAAAGGGAGGGTGGCACAGACTGGAGTTGTTCAAGGGGAGTCTGGAGTGGGGGGCACTGGGGAGAGGTGTGGGGGTCTCTGTGCCAGGATATATCTGGATTCCACAGCAACCATTTTTCTTGAGAAGATCAAATCCCTCCAGGGGGAAAGCAATTATCCCACACTGTGGGATACCACTCACCGCCCCCGCCCCTGCCCCCGCCCCCATCTGGAATCCTGCTCACTCTACGCTATACCTTTTTTTTCTATATTTTTGTTTGTTTCAGGTTTTTGTTTTGGTTTTTTTCTTTTCTTCTTTCTTCTATCCCACCCTGCATCTTAACTACTGCTGAGGAGACAGCAACATATACAGACTCAGGGGGCTTCAAAGACTGCTTTTAGGCCATAGCCATTCCACACACTTTCCTATGAACCAGACTGGCACTTCCTCTTCACCGGAGAGCCATAGAAACACCCTCCTGGTTTCCGTCAGACCCAATATCTAGGCTCTAGAGGCCCCAAACTGCTGAGTTCAGGAAAATAATCCTGAACAGACAGATTGGTGGCTCGGAACTTTTGAGTTGTAATTTATTTAAATTAGATAAAAATTTGATCTTTATTAAGGGAACACACCACCCTCTTCTCTCAAGTCTGAAAGGCACCACCCACAGGTGATCCAGAAATTCTATCCCCCCAATTCCACCAGAAGCCCTCTCAGAAACAGTTGGGTCTGTGGCTAGTCTAAGATTGACAGTAGGCCAGTAGGCAGAGAAAGGCAGAGGCAGATCCTGTGGTGCCTTGGAATATTTGCTGCCCCACTCCTGAACCCACTGCTGATAAAAGCCAGTTTTGCAGAGCAGCTTGGCCTATCCTGGGTGCAGCCAAGCCTCCACTAGGAGCCTGGAGCATTCTCCAAGAGCTAGCAGATATCCTGTTTGTGGGAGGTGCCAATCAAGTTCATGAAGAAGTTGGGGGATGGGCCCCACCCCAAATCCATGTGACTCAGTCACTGATACCCCAAGTCTGCCTCTATGCTTCAGTCCAGGCAGTTGACTCCTTAGCAGGTCACAAGCTCCACAGGGTGGAGAGAGGAACTCTTGATGGTGGGGCTATTGCTTTCTTCCAGGCTGATGCTGTATGGAGGGGAGTGCTCCACCCAAGAAAGGTGGTGCAGAATGACTCAGCACAGGGATCCCAATATCTATCTACTTAGCTCTCTACCAAGAGCCATAAACCCATCTTTCTTCACATGATTCTAGTTCCCTCTCCTTTCCCTCTGTTAGAGCCCAGGGTGAGTGACCAAGAATGAGATTTTGTGCACTGGCCCTTTAAGATGGCATCTGTGTCTAGCAGACTCCCATCTCTCCATGGCAGATAGAACTGCCACTACTTTTCACAACCTGATGTTATGTGGTTGCCTCTTTCCAGTTCTGGGGCTCTGAGCTGGGGAGCCTGGCATGGGATTGAGACTCCAGGCTCCTCAGGAGGAATCTTTGCAGCTGAGATATCCGTTCAGAATCTCAATAGCTGCCCACGGGAGCAGGCCAGCCCTTTTCACATCTCTGCCCTTCCTACCAGTCTCAATGTGGCTTATTCTGTAAATCCTTAGTTATAAGACCTCTTCAGCTAGTCTTTAGTGGGTTATTCATGTTGCTTACTCTGTATTTCCACTGTAATTTCAGTTTGGTTTTAGAACGAGATGAGTATAACATCCACCTACTCCCTACCATCTTGGAACTGAAACTTTTCTTTGTATTTTAATATTAGACGTAATTTGAGCCAAGAAGATCCTGAGGCCACACATTATCTTTTAATATGCCTCAAGTAGGTAGACTAATGAAAATAGCTTGTAAGACAATCCTGTCTACTGTTGATGCAAATAGAAAATGGTATAACCACTTGGGAGAATTGGACAATGTTACAGACTGCATGTTTTCCCAGCATTAGTATGTTGAAACCTAACCACCTTCTTGTGATGGTATTAGGTGGGACTTTTTGGTGGTAATTAGGATTAGATGAGGCCATGAAGATGGAGACCTCATGAATGAGATTAGGGTCTGTGTAATAAGAATCATGAGAGCTTTCTTCCCTTTGTACTCTCTGTCATTTGAGTGTACAATGAGAAGTAGGTAGTCTAAGAAGGGTCTCACCAGAACCCAGCCATGCTGACATTCTGGTCTTGGACTTTCAGGCTCCAGTGAAAAATAAACTTGTATATCGATATGGAATAATCCTCTGAATATACTAAATAGAAAAAAAGTTTAAAACTGTTTTTACAGTATGCTGTTTTGTAAGGTAATGGGGAAGGTAGTGTACTCATATTTTCAAAATGAAACAATGGAACCAGTATCTAATAAATGTGATTACCTACAGTGGGATAAAAATGAACAGAGTGGAAGAGATGGGAATGCAGACAAACCTTTTGTGAATCCATCTTCTCATAGAGTTTCAACTTTGGAGTCAGGTAAATATTTATATCACTTAAAAATAAAATTAAAAACATATCCCTAGAAATGAAAATAGTAATGAAAATAACCTAAGTGTACAGTAAATGTAAAGCAATTATGCTTTAACCAAATAAAAATTTTACTGTATTTAACTCTAAAACCAGGGGTATTTTTATTGTTTATCCTTGTGAAATATATTCTAAGGACAAAAAAAATTATAAAGACATCTTAACTGCATTCATTTTTATTTGTATCATATTGTTATTTCAAAACTAAAAGTATGATTAAAATAAATCAAATAGGTAATTATGTGAATGTTGATAGATACCATGATTTTCAGGCTAAGGGGGAAAAAACTCATTACAAATCAAGAATTAAACCAAAAGTCCCTTTTCAAGAGTATCTAAAAATATGAGACATTTCCAATCCTTGCATGGACAGGTTATCTGAATCCATTCAAGCCTGTGGTTTACAACTTCCTTAAAGATGGCATCTGGATCTCAATTTCTTGTTTACAGCTCTTCCCTTTAGGAGAGTGGCTGGTTACCTGATGCCACCCAAAGGGTAAAAAAATCCTCTTGAATGTTACCTTGTCTGCCTCAAATAAACCTTTCTTGTAAGAGTGGTTACAGAATCTAAAGGATAGAAAGCTGGGACTGCATTGAACTTATCAGCTCAACTCTTGTGCCTGCACTGCTAATAAATGTTTCTTTAATAAGTGTGTGAATGTGTGGTTACCCTACACCCACCTCAACTTTTGTGGCTACCAACTGTTTACCAAGAAGAACCTAAAATCTGAGCATGCTAAGTTAGCTTAGGTTAGTTCACAATTGACACAAAGTCATGTTTTTCAAATTTATTCTAAACATTTCACATTAAATGAAATTTAACCATAGTCATTACAGAGCATTACCACAATAGTACAAAGAACTTTTAAAATAAAAAACAAAATACAACTTTCAACAAGTTAAATGTCACTTTCCTATGTAAACAAAAATAAAATGAAACCCTGATGCTAAAAAGATACATATTCAGAGGTAAAATATAGACACAGAAACATTTAAATATTAACATAATCCACAACTAGATCACATTCTTTTCAAGAGAGTACATATATCTGTACTCTACATCTACAAAATTTCAGAATCCTATTAAAATCAGAACCATCTCTGGTTTATGATACAGCAGAATTCATAAGGCAAAAATATAGGCATTATCATCCAGTTCTTTGATTTCATTTGTATTTTAAGGCAAACTTGGAACTTTTTGCTTGGTATTTTAAAATAAATGGGACCTACACATGGTAACAGCAAAAATAACAATAAATTATCTCTAGTTAAATAGGTATAAAAAACCATATGGATAACAATTTTTCTCTCTGCAGAGAACTGGACTTTTATGACTCCACATTCATACCAATAACTTGCAAACCTATAGTATTTAAAACTTAACTGTATTCTTGACTCTTTGCAAATGTATATGAACACTGAATCAATATACTGGAAATGAAAATCCAATATATATCCAGCCACAGAATAATTAAAACACGTCTGATTTAAAGTGCCATTTCACAAAAGAGAAAATGGGTTAAAAGGTAGAACTGGATATTAACTTGACTTGTGGCATCTTGTAATTTCTTAACTTTTAGACTACAGAGGTTATAGAGGTTATCACATGTTCATTAAACTTTAAGCAGTATATTTACTCTAGAATCTGATTTTCCTAAAAATGAGCACTTAGGTGACAATACCAGAAATTCAACACCAAAACACAAAACAGAGCATTATATGTACATATATTTCCTTCAATGTCAGCCAGAGCCTTGATAATATAGTTAGTATTTTTTAAAGCTTCTATAATTTTGTTTTTCTACTAGAAAATACATTATCAAGTTCCGGGAAATTTGGATTTCTATAGACATTAGGTTTTTAAAATAATTCTCTTTCATGCCAATAAAACTTAAGTGAACATTAAAGGACACAAATGTTTATACATAAACTGGGTCTCTAATTACTTCTTATGATGGTGGAGATTAAGAATTAGATTCACACTTTGCCATAATAGTTCTTTGGGTAGAGGTCTCCCTCACTATATTTTACTGAGTGAAAAACTTGTTTACATTTCTAGTTTCTATAGTATCTATCACAATATCTCATATATAGGCCCTCCATATTTGTCAAATTATCAAAATAATTTTCAAACCTAATGTTTTCCTAACACTTGATATCACTCCCTATAATTTTATATTCATTCATATCTAAAACAATATTAGCAATGACAAGTAGAAATTACATAAATATCCTTTGGGCTACATTAAAAAGCACTTAAGTTCTATTACTATATTCAACAAATACTAAATAGTCAAACATTCCTAAATGGTTAAGTCTTTGTAACATAATTATAAAAGGCAATTATCTTCCAATTGATTTAGACAATTTATCACTGTCATTTTTTTCAAAATTTTTGGGGGGCAACCTTAACTGTCTCTTCATTGATTTCTAATATATTGATATTTAACCCTGTGAATTTATAATCAAATATCTTTATCTTTTTTAACATAAGACACATGTAGCTTTAAATTCACAATTTGTCAGCAGAGTATTCATAAATAAACTTCTCAAAAATCTGTACAAAAAGCCCCTGTTGTAAAGTTATTAATTGTCAGGTCACATTAATACCTCCAGTTGTGAACAGTAGTACAGTAGGTTTGGCAAACCTGAAATAAATATAGTTAAATTTGGGGGTTTTTTCCCTCTTCCTTTTACAGGTTTCAAAATTTGTTCTCTGGAGCCCTGGCTGGTGTAGCTCAGTGGATTGAGTGCGGGCTGGGAACCAAAGTGTCCCAGGTTCAATTCCCAGCCAGGGTACATGCCTGAGTTGCAGGCCATAACCCTCAGCAACCACACATTGATGTTTCTCTCTCTCTCTATCTCCCTCCCTTCCCTCTCTAGAGATGCGTAAATAAAATCTTAAAAAAAAAATTTGTTCTCTGGTACATGAGTCCTATTATTGCCCAAAATGTTTCACATTCAGTATTCTTCAACATCAAATTTGGATTTTTCCAAAGCAATGATCAATATATGTCTTTGATCTAATTTATCAAATGAAGTATGTATTTTATACTAATTTGGTAGTGGCAATGATACAGAGTAAAACACTATTAAAATAAAATGTATAGTATAGCTTTGTTTACAATTAAAATAATTTTGTAGTCTTTCAAATTCCCTTCTGGGGATAAAGGATTAAAAATAGAACAACAGGATGTATTTAACAAGCTTATTGACATAAATAAAAAGAAAATCAAGTTGGGACGTATACATATGTGATACAATCTATTTTAAACTGCTTTTCTTTAAATAAAGTCTAGGCCAATCACAATAGTGCACCTTGTTTCTACTCAATAAGTTTATTCAAATCAATTAAAAAGTTATTGCTATATATCATTGTTTTTTTAAACAAGCAACATAGAAAATACTCAGCCTGTCAAGTTTATTAGTAGCTCCTGTTGAGTTCTTAGTTAGAAGAGACTAAAAGTCACTTGCAAGGTTTTATAATCTGTGCAAATATTCATAAAGCATGATACTAATGTTTAAAGGTGATTTTTACATAGTTTGGTAGTATATATTTAAATCTACAACTGGCAGTTTATGGAAGAACAAGGAATAACAGCAAATTGCCTGGCTACAGTTTTCAAGAAATAACACATATGCTAACAAATGAACTTACATTTTTATAATTAAGAATGGCTTCTAACAATAGTTTAAAACATGGCACTTAAGAATGCAGTATGAAATTTTCTTACAAATATACACTGGTTTTGCAGAGACTATAAAGAGATGGTGGGCAGGTAAAAAAAAAGAAAACATGGAAAAGAAAAGAAAATGACTATAGTACCAAAAATAAAAGTACCGACATCCTGATAAAAATGCAAGGTTAGGTGTTCAAGACTAATAGACATTCACTAAAACATGCTAAAACAAAATGAGTCAACCACTTCTTTCAAATACACTGTCACTTGGCAATAAACAATTTTGCTTTAAAAGAGCACTTCTTTAGTCAAAATAGGACCAAATTTAGAACCATTACTCAAGTAAACACTAAGTTCCAGTTTTCCTCAGTAACTTTAAAATATTCAGTTACCTAAGAAATGCAGAGTAATGTATAACTGCCCAGTGCTTTAAATTTAATGTATATATTTCTATTTTTAAGGACATGTAATATTTAGTACAAGAAGAAAGATCAAAATGTATCTTTCTTTAAATCACTATGGAAAGCAGAACATGGGTATTTATGTGATTTTTGGATGCTATCATTAGTATATTCACTAACATTTTTAATAAGTACAAATAAATCAAGCCAGTAAAAATGAAAAATACTATCAAAACATGTCATGCATATCTCATACTGAACATCCAAAAGAACATTGTTATAGCTTTGTTATAGTTCCTACATTTAGCACCATTTTTATATTGGAACACTTGAAAAAGCAAACGAATGTCTTAAAAAACTGAAATTATTATAAGGATGTATGAAAAACTAATATACACTAAGTATGATACTAAACATTTGTCAAATATTTACATCAACACGGGGAAGCTTGCTGTACTACTAAAAAATTAAACTGATATGCTTAACTCTATCCATGCTTAGCATAGCATAGATGGGTAAGTAAATTCAACCAGCATTAACCTGCCCATATAAAAAAGATATAAACAGTAAATATGACTTCTTTAAATAGGCCCCCAAATATCATGATAGTAAAAGCATTTGTCTTGCACAGTTATTATGTTCCCAGTCCTAAAGCCATTTAGCAGAAAGAATGTCCAGGTGAGCCACTATGGCATATAATTTACACCCCTTAAAAGTACCAAAAAAGCAGCCCTTTATTTAAAGTGTAAAGCATATGAATTTATACCCAACAGACAGTATCAGCACTCTGTCCAGTCATTTACTACACTCCAGCATCCAAACATCATTTATCCTGGTAAATCATGGTACATATAGAGGAAGAGAGCTAAAACTTAAAAAAAAAGTTTTCCCCACATATACACTTACAAACATAAAACTACTTTATCCTAGTATTAGCAGGGGAAAAGTGCACAATTCAATTAGCAAGATCTTTCCTTTTTTTTTGATTATCCATTCACTGTGTAATAAAGAACAACCAAAGCTACTTCTCAGTTCAAAGTACCAACAAAACTTGGAGTCTTCATGTCATTTCAAGTTAAAAAGAAAGCAATGCAGCTTTGGAGTTTTAGAAAACTGGGCATCCTTTCATGCGACATGAGGTTCATCACCTCACTATTTCCATGAGTCCACACTTGTCAAAGTGCAGTTAATCCAAAATTGCAGCGACAGTATATCATGCCAGCTGAATCCAGCCATGTATCTGAGATAGGGTCATATTTCTGCACGGTGTTCAGATAGGAAGACCCTGAGTGACCACCGACTACATAAAGGTAGTTATCAATTACTGCAGCACCAACTCCTAGAAAAGGTGATTAAAATGGAGAAAAAACATGTTAAACATCTCGTAAACTTCTCACTAAAAATAAGTCAATTGATATCTTAATGTTTTCTTAAAATACATTTCAACAATCTATTAATCATACAAACAATACAGTAACATCCCTGTATATAAAAGTAAGGTAAGAGTTGAAGTCTTTCTTCACTTTTGCTCCCCAATCCTACTCTCCCTCCCTCTTCCTTCACAGGAAACTAATATTAAAAATGCAGTAACTCCTTTTCTATAGTTTCTGTTAAATTATTTGTCACTATTATTAGTTTATGAACTCCTTGAGAGTTGGCACTATTTTTCAAGTCATCTTTGTATTCCTTTAATATTTTGCACAGGATTACACATATGGTAGGTACTTTTTAAATAAAGTCTTGGGTAAGTAAAAAAAAAAAAAGAATGCAGTAAAGTGCACTGCCCACCTTGATTATTTATGACTCAAAATGTTTGTAATACAATGTTTTTAAAGGAGAATGAACATGAAAAAAAGAATGTACTATATATTTTTTCATAAGCTTTCTTCTCAGTTCATATTTACATATATTTTACAAAAAAATCATTCATTTTTACCAGGTTTTCAAATACAAGTATCCCCTTCTTTTCAGAAGTTCACATTACACCATTCTGCTTTTATGAAAAACCTACCTTACATTAGTATAGTTGACCCCTGAACAATGCAGGGGTTAGGAACACCAACACTAGCACAATCAAAAATCCAAGTAGAACTTCTGACTGCAAAAACTTAATAGCCTACTGTTGACTCTAAGTTTTAATGATAATATACACTCGTATGGTTGATTAACCCATATTTTATAATTACATGCAGTATATACCATATTCTGACAGCAAAGCAAGCTAGAGAAAAAAATTAAGAAAATCCTAAGATACAGAAAATATATTTACAGTATTAAAAAAATCCCTATGTAAGCAAACTTGAGCAGTTCAAACTAATGCTGTTCATGGGTCAACTGTACACGTTTCACTAATAAAAAAAAAATCTGAAGATTTTTGTTTTTATAAGAAATGGCAAAAAGTGAAACTACCATTCAGCATTTGTTTTGCAGCCAGCAGGTATAGAAGCAGCATGCACCCTATGTGGTGAGAGTGGCATTGACAACCTCCTTCCCCGGGAACCACACTCAGTAGCTCAGCATCAAGCCACAAGAGCTCTGACCTGTGTCTGTGAGCATCTGTGCTTTATCTCAATTTACTCTGGGCATCCATTAAAAAGGTATGTCCTAACATAACTGCTTCTAGGTTTTAGCCATTTCAGCTTACTGAAAGGTTTCATAGGAATACTCTATTTTCAAGTAGTAGGGGAAACCTATATATTGAAATATTTAAAATATCTACTGAGCTACACAATTTCTGCTCTAAAAAGTCTACTTTATATGTCATAGTTCTAAAAAGAACAAGGCTGCCTGAATTTTTTTACATGCTCAATTTTTTATGGCTTTCTCTCCCAATGACATCATGGGAACTAATTATAATAAACAATTAAACAGTTCATTCCATTTTGTCCTTTCAGTTTTCTTTGCAAGTTTATGTTTCACGAGTTTCTTAAGTCACAAATTCAAAGAATATCCTAAAGTATTCCACCAATAATTAAACACTTTCCCTTTAAAATAATGTGATTTCAGTAGGGCTCAAAGATAATTTCTTCTTTTCCTTGATGTGTTTGTTTTTCTCTAGGAATCCTGAAATCCAACTTTTTATTGACCAGCTATAACCCTTGAGGAGGAGAGAACATTTGAAAGTGAGCAACAAAACAGAACATCTGAAGATTGTGTGTGTGTGTAAATACAGAAAGATGACATTTGTTATATGAATGAAAAGAGCTTCTATAAGATACATTCTATTACCAGCATTTCTCAAAATGATAATATGCACATTGGCATAGTAAAACCACACTAAAAAAATCTATGCAATTTTGTCTAATCTAGTTGCCTGCAGTTTACCTCAAAGTTTTTTACCCCTGAACAAGTAATACTGTTTACTATCATATTCCATCACTATAAAAACACTGTGCTATATGTTAGAAATTAGTTAAGTTATTATTACCTGTTCTGGGTTCTTTCATTGGTCTACACAGAGTCCACTGATTTTGATGGGGGTCATATCTTTCAATACTTGACAAATGTGAGACACCATTATGTCCACCTACCACAAAAATAAAGCCCAGCATGACACCCACACCAAAGTGAATCCTTTTATCTGCCATAGATGCAACCATCTCCCAGGAGTCCTTACTTGGATCGTAACGTTCCACACTGCAAATATTCACAGAAGAAAATTAATTCACATAGTCTGTGTCATTCTTCCTACTAAAGCAAAACTAAACCCCACCATTTGAACTCTTAAAAGTTAAATAAAAAGTCAGATAAAAAACCAGAGTAGTTTGTCCCAAATGTTTAGATTTTGCTAGTGAGATTGCAGGGATAAGAGATTACCTTGTGGACCAGGTGCAAAAATAATCATATGCCATCCCATTATCTATCGTGAAGCAGTAAAGTATATTAAGGTTATAGAACTTCTGGAGTCAGAAAACCTGGGTTGAAGTGCTAATGAGGCATATCTAGGGCTGAATAAACCCTACCCTTACCATTATGGATATGTGTAACCCTGGTTAAGTCATTTTGTCTCATCCACAAAAATGACAATATACAACCTCAAAGGATTCACATAAGAATGAAGTCAGATATGTATGCATGTGAAAGGATTTTGAAAATCACCAACTGAATGTAGATGCATTCGAAGGACACTAAGACTTCTACACAGCTAAGGAAAAGTGGAGGGAAGGAAAGAAGAGGATTTTTTGTTTTCATATAGGAGAATTCATGGTGGTTTATTACAAAGCAAATACTGCAGACTTCATAACATTAACTAGCTAATCATACAAATCTCAGAGTGATTTAGGAGAATTCAGGGATCTAAGTCAAATCTGCAATCCAGAGAACACTTGGCATTTCCAAGCTGTATTATGAAAATCCAGATCAAATCAGAATTTCCAAAGAAGTTTCTCTAGAAAATACCAGAAGGCCTTTTAGCCTATGCTTTTCCTTGAAGGGGCACAAAGGCAAGCTTGTTGAGCTTGTTCTGGTCTTAACATAACCTCTCCAAAAAATCCTAAAGCATTGGAGAGTCAGTGACATAATTCTGGAGTTCTGAATGGAGACAAGACTGTAGACTAGACTGGGATATAGCTAAACTATAACTGTTTCTGAAAGGTCACCAGGATAAAAACCACTAGAGCAAAACATTGGACAAGAGTCACCAATGAACTGTAGCAAAAACCTAAAGTTCAAGAGCATTATCTCAAAACTAAAACACTTAACCTTTCATCTTATAAATTTCTGTCAGCAACTTTTCAAATAATAGAAATGTTGCCTGGGACCCAAATATTTTTCCTTCAACTAAGGGAACAACAGAAAAAGAGAATACTTTAGCTTACACTAAAGTATTTATAGATGAGATGCTGTTGTGCCATTGCTTTCTCAGTTAACAAATCACAATGTATTCTTTCATTAAAATGCTCATAATAAACCATATACCACTCTAATTAGTATTAGAGATAAAATGTCTGGAACATCAATTTTCAACAAAGGTTCAGAATTATGATTAATTTTCCATATAAGCAGTCACTTTATGTGTTTATTTTTCTGATATATTTTTCTCCTTCATTGACAGGATAATACACAGAAATCTCAAATTCAGCATGTAGCATAACAGCATCACATAACACATGATTATAGAGTAAGAATCCAGAAAGAAGTATTTAAATAAGGCTCTAAGTTTATATGATGCATTATAGTAATGTATAAGCATACAAAAATTACACTTTTCAAGTTTTTATTCTACTAGGTAATGCAATAACAGGCCTATCACACACACACACACACCCAGAGTCTAAAGTTGTCTAACTTTATCTTATTTTCAGATTTCTGAATTTTAAAATCCATTTATATTGATTGAACGAAAGTAAAATATAGTAAGAGGAACTGATTCTTAGGTTTGTACTAAATCCCCAAGTAAAACAATTACAGTTATAATCAGGGAGCATATCAAATTTTCAAAATGTCTATTAATATTATACACTTTAAAAATTAAAAAGATAAGTTAATTTATACACAAGAATTGTTTAAAAATCAGAGATCACTGTTAATACTTAAAAAATCTACAGCTTAAGTTAAGTACCTGTTCATGTGGGCAGGACCATACCCACCAATAGCATATATCATTCCATCCAGCACAGCTGCGGCAAAACAACTTCGTGTTGTAGTCATTGGTGCCACAGGTTCCCATTTTCTTAATTTGGGAATATACTTCTCTACAGATTGTAAGTAAGACTGTCCATCATAACCACCTAAAGCATAAAGTTCTCCTGCAAGTACTACTACTCCAAGGGTGCTTCGGTGCTCATTCATTCTCTCAAGAGAAGTCCAGGTATTTGTATCAGGATTCCAGCATTCTACTGAATTTTCATGTGTTCTGACAGTGAAATCAGGACGCACGTCAGTTTCAATACCACCTATAACATACACCTTTTGGTCTAAAACGCATATTCCAAATTCATGGCGAGGCATGTTTAAGGGTGCCAAACCAATCCAAGAGTCATTCTGAGGAAAGTACATCTCCACACTAAAGAATAAGCAGAAAAAAATTAAATTTTAAAAATCAAAATGATCCATAAACAAATACAAATGTTTATTTTCATTAGTAATCAGGGACATGAAATTCTAACCACAATAAACCATGACACACTTTCTAGACTGGGAAAATTTAAAGTCAGATAATAGCTAATAACTATTGGCAAGAATGTGGAACAAGGAATGAATACTTTGTTAGTGACAGTGTAAACTGACAAATCTACTCTGGAAAACAATTTCACATTATCTGATAAAAGTGAAGATATACACGTTCTGACGCAGCAGTTTCATTCCTATGTATGTCTTCTACCGAGTGCCTATTACAGTCAGTTTTATACCAAGCACATACACAGAAATGTTCATAGCAACACAACACAATCATCCATCTAAAGGAGAAGGGATAAATAAGATGGTATATCCACCCTATGACTGAACAACTCCATTCTTAGATATGTTCACAAAAAAAAGGTACACATTGTATATGTACAAGGAAGTTCATGGAAATATTACTTGTAAAAGTTAAGAACTAGATGTTTTTAAATGTGCCAAATGTTCATCAACCAAAAAATAGTTAAATTGTGGTATGTCATAAGAGAATACCACACATCAATGAAACTGAACAAACTACAACTGCATGCAACAGGGATGAAACTTATGCATATAATATTGAGGGAAAGAAGACAAATTCAAAAGAATATATTCTATATACCATATTTTGCCATGTACAATGCATCCCTGTGTATAATTTTGGCCCAAACTTTCAGGAAAAAAGATCTTTTAATTTTTTATTTATATTTAGAAACAAAATTGATTATTGTATTTCAGGGTATTATTTTGCATATGGATGTTATCACTTTCTAGAGTTATACTTTTAATGCATAAAATAAAAGAATTAAAAACATTTATATAGGTAAAGAATTAGTACTCTCCATGTATAATGCACATTCTTATTTTTCCCTCAAAAATTTGGGCAAAGAAGTACACATTATACAAAGCAAAATATGGGTAGTTCCATTTATATGAAGCTCAAAAACATTACCTTTGGGGAGGACAGGGAGGGAGCTCAACGGTGATTTTTGGGTGTTGGTCATGTTTCCTATTTCTTGAACTTCAGGTTCGTAATATTCATTTTGTGGTAATTCCCTGAGCTTAGAATTTGTGAACTTTTCTGTATGTGTATAGACTTCAATTTATTTTTGTAATTAATGTGTTCATTGTAGAAAATATTATGTCCATATACTATGAAACTAATGAACTATATCCTCATGCAGTATCACAGATGAATTCTGTAAATTTACTGTTGAACAAGAAAATACATATCTGAAGAATATATATAATACTACTTCATTTATATAAAAATGTGTAAAACTTAATGATATATTAGGACACTTATAAGATGCAGCAAAATTATAACACAAAGCAAAGGGATAATGCACAGAAAATTCAGAACAGTGGTTCCTTCTGGGGGAGGGAAGAAGATAGCTTCTAGCAGGGGCATAAGGGGACTTTAAAGATATTGTTATTAGTCTATTTCTTAAGCTGGTTAATAGATACTTGGGTATCTATCATACATATTATATATGGTTTCTTGAATTTATAGATATTTCATTACAAAAAAAAGTTGGGAAAGTATCCAATGTCCCAGGCTCAAAATGCACAGCATAAAAATATATTTTCTTTATCATATATGGTCAAAATACATTAATTCATTCAATAATTACTGAATAACTAAATGTAGTCTTGTTATATTGCTTGTTTTAAAAACGTGAATTTGTTCCAATGAGAACAATACATCAGGAAACTATTTGATCTTAAGAAGAGCAGTTTCACTCAGATGGTGGGGACATATACTGACTGGAGTGGCTCAAGAGAGAATGGGAGATAAGGAAGATAAAATAGTGGGTATAGACAATTTTTCCAAGGCTTTTACAATGAAGAGGAGGCAGCTATAAAGAAGAGCAAAGGAAGACGACAGAGTCCTAGGTAGATTAATTTAATCTGGGAGTTTAAACTAGAACACGTTTGTATGCTGCTGGCTACTATGCAGTAGAGTGGGAGAGAAAGTGATAATACAGAACAGTGACAGAATAACAGTAAAAGCAAAGTCCTTGTGTAGAGAGACGGAATGGAAAGTGGTGAATGGAATAAACGGAAAAGTGGAGGGTTTGTTCTTACTAATAAATTGGTAGATTTGGTGATGGGAAGTGAGATAGCTCTCTTCAGATTGCTTCTATCTTCTCAGTAGAGTAAGAGAGAAGGTCATCAACTGAAGAGTTGGAATGTGAGGGTAAGGGCCTTTTGGCTGTTTTTATGGAGAAACCAGATGGTGTAAAACAGTCCTCCAAGGAAGTGAGAGTAAATTAATTAGGGAAACACATAGGGGTGACTGAGAGTGCTGAGAGCCTTAAGTGAGACCAGTTAAGATGGATATATGTCTCTCCAGCCACATTCTGTTGCTCAGGTACAGCCACGGACTAAGTGGGAAACTGAATTTAACTACATGAGTACAGTGGAAGGAAAGACTGGTAAGAGGGCCATGAGTATATTCAAAGTAATGATAACATCGATGTTCCTGGAATCTAACCTGGGTAAAGAGCGAAGGTGAGGACATGTGGTGGTTGAGGAGCAATAAATTTTACTGATTAGAAGGCCAAGGGACTAAAAATCTTGAAGGGTACAAAGAATGGTTGCAGTGGGTGTACTGAAATAAATAAGCTGGCAAGAAAGAAGGTGGTGGACAGAGAGTGGAATGTCTGAAACCAAGATTTTCAAAGTGTTCAAGTCACAGGTAATAACAAAGTTGAGGGTATAACCATGAAAATAGGTGCCTAAAGTAAGGCAGAAAAGATTGGTAGAAGTGAGTTCAAGGAGAGAGGCAAAGGAGCTGGACACCTGTGGATTATACTATGTGGATGTTGACATCAGTAAGAATAATTATTTATGTAAATGATGAGAAAGACAACCATTTATAAAAATCCTCAATAAATGAAATTACTGAAGGAACAGCAGATGGTGGTAACAGGAGGGACATCACGTGACAGCTTGGTGGCAAAGGCTTGACATGAGTGGAGGGTTTTGAGGGAGGGGAGATGAAGAAATTTTGGAAGTGGCTATGAGGAGCAAAACAAGAAAAAGTACTTAATGACTTTTAGGACTTGTGATACACGAAGTATGGAAAAAAGTTTTGAGACAGGAAAAACAGTATCCTTAAGCCTCAGCCCTATTTCATTAGAGAAAGCAAGAAGTTAAGGATAAAGGAGATTTTTCTTATAATAGGATGTGAGTTCTAGAGGACAAAGCAGATTTAAGAAGTCAAAAACAAATAAGCTGGGCAATTAGGTTACATTAGATGGTACATAGGGTCATACAATAACAGTATAATAAAAAAATATTTGGTTTCTGTCCCAGGTTCCTAGCACAGAACTCCTTGTAATTACCTGAGTGAAAGGAAGTTACGGGTTTAATTTATACCTCTAAGTTATACTATATGCTAACTACCGAATTTCCAACACTGACCTCATTTTTGAGCTCTGTAATTATATCCAGCTAGTACTAGGATATCCTTCACTTGGATATTTAATAGGCAATTCAAACACAGTATTCAAAAACTAAACATATTATTTGCCCTGTAAAATTGCTCCTCCTATATTCTCTCTTTCTCTTGGTATATAACCTAACCAACCATTCATCTAATATCTTACTCATGTTTGATTTCCCCTCTCATTATCACCTCTTATACATTCAGTGAAATCCTATCAATCTGGTCTCTCAAAACATTTCTTAAATGAATACCCCATTCTCTATCTTTACTACTGCTACCCTAATTTAGGACCTCATAATCTCTTGCCTGTACTTACTTTTACAATAACCTCTTTCCTAATCACTATGATATTAATCCTGGCCACCTTGATACATCTCCATGAAACAGTCAAGAATGATCTGATATAAAATCATTTTACTACCATTCTTAAAATAGCTTTTTAACCCACCTAATAAATATCCTCTGTCATCATGGAACACAATACCTTCTTTGACTTGGCCTGCTACTTGATAGTAAAAGTTGTATACTTTGGAATACCAAACAGTTTTTCATTTCCTGCATAGCCTGTACTGTAACATACGACTTTATCTTTGTGTACCTCCTGTGACCTTTCCACTGTTTTCTCGCTTGGCCCTTGCTTAGCCTTTAACACTCAGCTTGGACATTAATTTTTCCACAATATCTTCCCTAAATTCCCCAAATGGGATAGGTGCTTCTCCTTAATATTTTCCATAGAATGATCTTTATCATCATATTAAAAATATGCATTATAATTACCTATTTAAATATTTGTCACCTTCACTAAATTATGAACTTGTTAAAAATCCATTATCTAGCACAGTGTCTGATGCACAGGTGTTTATTATTTTTTGTAGAATTAAACTGAATAATTATTCAGGTTGATTCTAATTTTTCTATAGTTATAAATAATATCACAATTTTTTCTTCTGATAGATTCTATGATGAAAGATGACTGACTTACAGATATTAACAGTTCTTATAACTCTTCAATAATTGGTTATTTTTTTTAATACTCAAGACACCAAAAGGTAACTGCTCAAGAATTTTTACAATGTAAATTCATATTTGGTATTGTCATAACATTTGACTAATATGATTTACTTCATGCCAATAACCAATGCCTTTAGGAAGAGTAAACAGCCCTGACTAGTGAGGCTCAGTGGGTTGGGTATCGTCTGCAAACCAAAAGGTCACCAGCTCAATTCCTGGTCAGGGTACATGCCTGGGTTGCAGGCCAGGTCCTCAATTGGAGGTATGCGAGAGGCAACCCATCAATATTTCTCTCACACACTAATGTTTCTCTCCCTCTCTCTTTCTCTTTTTTAAAAGATTTTATTTATTTAATGTTTTTAGAGAGAGAAGAAGGGAGAAAGAGAAACACTGTCATGCAAGAGAAACATTGATGGGTTGCCTCTGGCATGCCCCCAACTAGGGACCCAGCCCGCAACCCAGGCATGCACCCAAGCACGCACCAGACCAGGAAACTGAACCAGTGACTTCTCCGTTTGCAGGCTGGCACCCAATATGCTGAGCCACACCAGCCAGAGCTCCCTCCCTCTCTTTTTCCTTACCTTCCCCACCCCCCCAAATAAATAATCTTAAAAGAGTAAACAATTTACGTAGTTCACCATACTAATATTTTTACTTGTAGCCCAATTTCAACGATAATATTAAATGCACACTGAGGCTTTTCAAAAAGGTACAGAATATACCAGTTGACATCAATAGTGGTATATATCAATAGAATATACCAGTTGACATCAATAAAACATCAACAGTGTCTTACCATTGAGGCAGGGAAAACAAACAACCAAGTTTTTAGAAATAGAAAGAAATCCACAGAATTAAAGAAATATATCCAACATAAAAGTTTTCATGAAGCAATTCCATTCAAAGGAAAGGCAAAGGTAACATCCAGCTATACTTTCAATGTATAAAAGTTACTTGTATACTCTAAAGCAGGGATTGGCAAACTATGGTTATGAGGCAAATTTAGCCCACCAGCTCTTTTTGTGAATAAAAGTTTTATTGGAACCCAGCTAAGCTAATTCATTTATGTATTGCCTATGGCTTCTTTCACACATAGTAGAGTTGAGTAGTTATGACAGAGACCATATGGCCACAAAGTGTAAAATATTTATTATTTGTCTTTTAATAGAGATCATCTGACAGATCCAGGTTATTAGAAAACTTTTCTACAACTGTCATTAAAAAATTTATACTGAAGAAAATAAATCACACATAAAGTCCATGATTTCTATCAGTTTCCTATTTTTTCTTATTTCTTTGGTGGTTCTTCTAATTCATTGGATTCATACAAATCCAATCTTGTCCTCAGTCTCCCTCATCAGATTCCTAGCTCTTCTCTTTAGCATGTTCTGATATAGCTAGCAATAATAAATCTCTCTGACCTGGTGTGATTCAAATAAAGATACAAATGACTTTATAAAGAAAAAAAAAGACATGAAGTAGGAGAAAAGTTAGTGAGTAAACAGAAGACATGAAGTTTGTGCACTGGGGTGCAGGTGGGTGTTAATAACTGAGAGTTGTAGAGGACGGATGACAATGTGATTAAAACAACCAGGTTAAGTGTTTAGGAAGAAGAGAAAAAGCAAGGAGAAACAAATAAAAAAAAATAAGAAATTCAAACTATTCTAAAAACATGGAAAATACATTTAAAAAGTATAAAATCTTTAACAACAATCCTCTATTTACCTATCCAAACAGGCAAACAATCCAGATTTTCCTCCTACTGCACAAAGTACTTTGGGAGCACAGCGAGGTCGTGTCATCAAGACTGTCTGATGAGAGAGTCTATGTTCAGGCATGAAGTGGTACTTTAGGGCTTCATTCAAAAGATGTTTACAAGTGCGATCATCACGAATAAGATGATTTGCTTCATATAGTCTAGTGAGAAACTTAACACTCAGCAATGGTAATCGCACACTGTTAAGTAGCTGCGCTAAGTATTTCTGGCGTTCTTGTACATCATAATTGATCCAAGACTCAAGTGCATAAAAAACAGTCTCTTCTGTAGCTACATTCAAACAGTCATTGGAAACAATTTCATCCAAATCAGCATGTGTAAGCTCAAAAAACTCTTCAGTCTGGCAAACAGCTTCAAAATTTTGGCATACGTATTTAGTGGCTGCCAAGTAAAGGTCACGACAACCGTATGTCTCTGCAAAACGAGAAATTCCAATGCAATTACCAGGATCAAGCTGGCTTTCAAGAAATGCACAACATTCTTTCAGGACAAGTTTTATCTGGAGTAGGTTTGCTGCTGGAAGGAGAGATTCAACTGTGTCCTGTGAAATAAAAATAGTTCCTGTGTAGGCATATTCCACGATGGCCTGGAGAGCAGTTTCGTCAATGCACTGAAACTCAACCTCATTGTTCTCTTTCTCAGAAAGGTTTCCAGTGAACATAGCTTTGAAATATGGGCTGATGCTGGCAAGTACCACTTTGTGAGCATGGATTTTAACATCACCTATTCGAAGAATGATGTCACAGAGTTCGTGATGTTGACGAAGAAGATTCAGACCCTGTAGAAGTTGTTCAGAATGTAAGTGGGTTAAGTTAGCAAGCATGTAGGTTGGGGATGTGTGGTCCATCTACAGAAAAATAAAAAGCATGAACAGTTAATTCAAAATAATCTTGCCAATATTCTTTTCTTAATAGTACAAAATAAAAAAGATTTGTTGTTTGTTGTTTTATTTTAAATAGTTAATGCTAAATACCAGACAGAAGCTTTTAAAGTTAAAAGAGATATTACCAGTCATATAATTCAACTCCTTTTAGTCTAGATATTAAGAACAGAGGCCCAAAGGCTATGTGTTATGCCCCAGACCACAAAGGTCTCTTGACAATGAACTATTGGATCAGAAGCCTGCCAACCCTCCTGTTTACCTTCATTCCATTCAAGTCTGAGCTACAACTACAACAAAATGCAAAGGTGAGAAAACATTTCCTTAATAAAACTGATTATGAAACAATGTGAGTAGCTATTTGGCTGTTTTCCTAATATCGTCAATGACTGCCAATCTAATCAACACATCCTTTCATTGGAAAGAAATATCAGTTAACTCACATACTTTACCCAAGATTCAATAATTATTTGATAAAGGGTGCTAAACTTTACAAAGGTACCACTATTGTCAACTAATTTGATGATGACAAAAAGTTAATGTGAACACAATCTGATGTTCTATAGTAAGGACAATAAGGGTCACTCACTGATCTATACCATACCTACTCAACTTGTGTTCATAAATTCAGATCATATCCAATCTGCTTGCCACCATGTGCTTCTGAAAGATGAAAAAGAATAAAAATAGGAGAAAAGAGATGAGGGGAAAAAAAGGAGAAAAAGTGAAAGGCAATAAGGACTCTAGTAGATTAAATAATGGCTCCCCAAATCCTGGAAACCTTTGAATGCTACTTTATATGGCAAAAAAAAAAAAAAAAAAGACTTTGCAGATATTATTAAGGATTCTGAGTTGGGGAGATTATCCTGGATAATCCTGGTAGGCCCTAAATATAATCACAGGTTCCCTATAAGAAAAGGGAAGGAGATTTGGCAAAGACAGAAAAGAAGAGGGTAGTCTGCTACAGAGAGAAGAGATTACAGTGATGAAACCACAAACTGGGTATACTGGCAGCCACCAAAAGCTGAAAGAAGGCACAGATTCTCCCCTAGAGACTACAGAGGGTGCACAGCCCTGCCAACATCTTAATTTCAGCCCAGTGATACTAATTTCAGATGTCTGATCTCTAGAATTGTGAGGGAATAAATTTGTTTTTTTAAAGCAACTGACTTTGTAGTAATTTAAGTCAGTCATGAGAAATCAATACATAGATACTTCAAACTGGATTGTAGCAGCTGCTTAAAATAGATAAAATATATAACAGCAACACAATATAAACTGTCTCCTTCCTGTCTCATTTATACCTAAAACACAAGTCATGGAAATAATGAAAAAGTAGATTTAGCTTCTATTTTTAAAGTATTATCAATAAGTTAAAATAGTCCCAACACTGTTAAATAATATAATTATTGGTAGGAGAGTATAACACTTCATTCCTGTGCATTTTTAAGTGGAGCTATCCAAATATTGAAATTTTTATCTTCGTCTAGAACTTCATCATTTCACATTTTTCAACACAATTTTAGGTTAACACATTGTATTAATATGGCCACTTGACAGCTGACATCACAAACCACTTCTGATCTTTCCAAATGATCCCACACACATCTATTAGAATAATTCTCATTCATGGTATAAACAAGTCTCAAGAAACTGGTGGGTCTTCTAATAGGTACTTAATTCCAGAATAGAGTATTGGTAAGAAAGAAGACAGAAACTAGAACACATAAGTTTCTATCTGCATCTGTTATTTTACTTATTATGGTATTGACCTTTTTAACCTATTGAACTTCTTTTAGCCTAGGCTAATAGAAAAGTCAATATCTAGACTGAAAAGTGAAAAATGAACAATAGGAAAGGCAAGCAGATATAGAAAGTAACTGATGGGATTAAGAAAGCAGTTCTACCTACTTTACATTGTTAACTTTACCTTATCTCATCATTATTCTCCTTATCTGTAAAATTATAATAATACCTAAACTACGTATCTCATAAGGCTTCAGAGAATCTAATCAGATAATGCACATGAAGACACAATAAACTGTTAAAGAGTTATTAGTGTATGGTACTATGGCAAGGCAACCAAGGTGTAAATGATAACAGCGAAGAACAGAGACATTGGTAACACAGATAGTAAGTTTTAGTCCTAACTAAGGTCACATATTGTTATATAGTATTAGTAAATTTCTTAATCTAAACATCAATGTTTTCATTTGTAAAATAATACCTCCCATCTATCTCAAAAGGTTACATGAAAATGGTTTTATAAAGTTCTACATAACTTGAGGTGCCAGGAGACAGAACTTAAACCTCATTTTATTTGAAGTGCCTCTTCTCATAATCACTTTCACTAAGTCCCATTTTTTCCACAATGCCTTTTCAATCCAATACATGCCATGTAATTGACTACAATGCTGCACAAATATTTTCTTACCATATGACAGATTTTGTCTACATTTCTTCTCTCAGTTCAAATTCTCAAAAGGCTCAGTCAAAATTAACTTTACTTGGAAGTCTACAAGCATTTAAAAACTCAATTCCTTTACATGCAATTAATTTAATTAATTTAAGTATGTGTGCTGTTTCATGAAACATACCCCTCTCAATCCCCATTTGTCTGATTTGATAAAAAGAATAACTTCAGACTGAAAAGAGAAAGATTAACAGGAAACACAAATGGATAAAAAAATAAGTATAGGGATTTAAAAAAGAGAGCTAGCTAATGCAATGGGACGATAAAGGAAAATAAAATGTATACTAACTGGAAAGAAAAAATAGAACTGTCTTTGTTGGCAGATGACATGACTGTCTAAGTAGAAAATCCAAAACAATCAACAGAAAAACTTCTGGAACTACTAAGCAATTTTGGTAAGCTTGCAAAATACAAAGTTGATATACAAAAGCTGATCGCATTCCTATACACCAGCAATGAACAAGCGGAATTTGAAATTAGAAACATATTATCATTGACACTAACACCTAAAAAATGAAATACTTAGGTGTAAATCTAACAAATTATGTACAAGATCTAGACAAGAACTACAAAATTCTAATGAAAGAAATCAAAGAACTAACCAAATCAATGTGGAAAGATATTCCATGTTCATGGATAGGAAGACAGTATTATTAAGATGCAAGTTCTTTTCAACTTGAACTATAGGTACAATGTAATCCCAATCAAAATTCCAGCAAGTTATTTTATGGATATTGCAAACTGATTTTGTAGTTTTATGAAAAGGCAACAGACTCATAGCTAACTCAATAATGAAGAACTAACAATACTTCAGGAATTATCACAAAGCTATAGTAATCAAGACAGTATGTCGCAAGTGAAAAAACAAATAGACCAATGGAACAGAATGAAAAGCCCAGAAAAAGACTCACAGAAATACAGTCAACTGATCTTTAATGAAGCAGTGATGGCAACACAACAGAGAAAAGTCTTTCAACAAATGATTCCGTTAACTATTTGGATACCCATCCTTCATAAAAATTAACTCAAAATAGATCATAGATATAAATGTAAAAGCAAAACTATAAAACTCCTAGAAGATAACACAGGAGAAAAATCTAGATGACCTTGGGTACAGCAGTAACTTTTTAGATATGATATCAAAGGCCCAATCTAATCATACATTTCTAATCATAACATTTCAAATAACTTTAAAACAGTAATTTATTATACCATCCCTAGTAAGATATGCACCCCCACCCCCAAATCTTACACCATTTGCAGTAATCACATTACTGTTGGAAGTGACATTTGTATTCTGAAAATGTTATCAGTGCATTGTCACAAATCCATCATTACAAGACATTTCTAATTCTATCATCCCCAGGGTCATTGTGATCTGGGATTCTCAGTATGGGAGAAAAAGATAAAAATGTAAGACTGAGACATTAAATGTAAATCTTGTAGTCTGATTTTGAATAAAATTATATAGAAACATAATAAATAAAATTATATACAGAATATATATAGAAACATACACTAATACATAACCTATGTATACAACATAAAATACATGTAAGAGATATAAAAATGTATAAAATATACATAATATTATTTTAAGGAAGAAAATAATTATATCATCTAATTCTGTCTACTGGAAAGTGTGAGAAACTATGGCCAACCAAGTAGCAAAGAGCACTCATGGCATTCAAATGTGGTCCCTAAATATTGTTCCCCTTCAAGGGAACATAACTCCTTGGCCAAATGGCTAATTTCAGGCCAAGGGGCAGAAAAATGTCCAGACAAATTTGAAATCTTTACTAGGTAGCAAGAAAGCTATCAATGATTAAGGTCATAAAAAATTAGGAGACTAAGTGAGCAAGCTCTCACTAGCAAAAGCTGGAACAAACTGCTCCATAATAGTAAATGAAATTGATTAAGACACATCAGATATACTTAAATTCATGAGTTCATAACAATAAACATTATACTTTAAAAAAGTTCTTACTGTTCGCCACTGGAGGATGCTAATCAATCAAGTCATTATTGAGAACCTAGTAACTAAAAAGAAAGAATCAAGCATTTATCATTGGTTTCCTACTTGGTTAGTGGTTAGTTGGTACATTGGTTAGTGGTACTAACTGTACCACTGGCTTACCAGACAGATGAGCTTTCTTTTTATAAAAGTATTCCAGTTAGTAAATAAAGAAGAAATGACAGAATATTATCATTCTGCAATCTTAATGAATTAATGGAGGTAGGCACTAATTATGAAGTACTGCTAACATCACAAAGAGACAACCAGACATTGGGGTCTTCTGATGGAAGACCATAAAACCACCAGTGGTGCATATTCTTGCACCACTCCCCACCACACACCAAAATCAAACATGTAGTCAACAATATAGATTCAACTAAAAATTTACCTGACACACAGAGAACAGAAAAAGCAGAAAGATGGAATCAGCAAAAACAACCTAAGAAATTTTATGAAATAACTTAAATGCTTCAATAA